GAGGAAGTCCCATGATTATCCTTGTACATATTTATGCTTTTAGTGAGTTGAATAAGGTCAGGAACAAGTTTGGGGGTTTCCTCAATTTGCCCAAAGGTCATGTCCAAACACCAACAGACACAACACTGCTCCTTCCCACTTGCGGTATCACTCCAACCATTCTTTGTATATACCATGCTTTTATCATATTTTCGGATCATGTTTGCTTTGTTGATTTTGAGTCTCATGCATTGCACATACATATGTGCATAGAAAAATCCAAAAAAATTTAAAAAATTCTAAAAAGAAACAAAAACAAGCATTTAGGTTGCATCATTGCATCTTTAGGATTGAGTCTAGACACATTTAGATTGCATTCATGCATTTGGAGCTAACCTAATAAGGAAACACATGCTTAGAACTCAAAATCAAACTCTAGGTGATCATAGCAAGTAGCATAAGCATCTCCTAAAAAGCTTGCATGCTTTGAGCCTTGAAAACTCATTCTTTAAACTTGTTGCTTGTGTGAGATCGGCATTCTCTTTAAACCAACTCCAAAATGAATTTAAAACCTAAAATGAACTTAATTAGTCTTGCTTATGGACTCTTGCATGCTTGATCATGGATTATACACATTTGGGTTGGACTTACCCTTCATACCAATCTCTTTCCAACCCAAATGGCACTCCTTACCTTTAGACCCTTACCATTCTTTGAAACCTAAATCATTTTGCTTGTGTGAGTCCTCTTTTGATAGCTTATCATGTGCAAAAACTTGAGAGTTTTAGGGGCGACATTGGTTGTTCTTATCTCAGGCTAGCTATAGGACCTTATGAGAGCTAGCAAATAGGATGGGAAGTTGGGTGTTATGGTGTTAAAAGAGTGAAAATATGAACCAAAGAAAAGAAAAGAACAGAAAAGAAAGCCACTAGGGATCAAAAGATAAAGAAAAACAAAAAGAAAGGGAAAACTCTAGAAACCTTCAAATAAGAAACCCCTTAGACTAAAGAAAAGAAAGAAGGAAAAGAGTATAGAAAAGCCTTTGGGGAAGACATAAGAAAGATAAGAGTAGAGCTTAAGTAAAAAAATGAAAGAAAAAGTCCCTAGTTGGTTCAAAAGAGAAGAAAAGAGAAAGATTTCATTGGGTGAGTGAAATAAGAGAGTGATCTTAAAGTTTTTGGGAATGAATGGGTTTGAGATTTACACCAAGAAAAATGGTAGAGTTTAAAGATGTCTAGGAAAAGGGTAGATTGATAAGAACAAGCAATGTATGCATAAGTTACTCCTTTTCTTAGATAGATTTTGCATAATGATCAAGCTCTTATTCTTGAGTGTAAGCCACTAAAAAGAAATGTATTGAAACCCCTCCTCTATTCTCATTTAGCCATTTCACTTAACAAGCTAAATGATTGAGATCAATTTTCCATTTGCAAGACTTCACCTTATTGCTTATACTTAATTGAATGTGAGAGTTGGTTGAGGAGATTTTTTGATTGGTGATCCACAACCTGTTTTATAGCAATGAGTCTTGATAGGCCTTGAGAAGCTAGAGTGTACTAATTTAGATTGTTTATGCTAATAGGTTATGTTTGTCTAGGATGTGGTGTTGAGTATAAGAAGTGTATCCATAGGTTTAAAGCTTTCATTCTCATTTTCTCTCCCTTTGGTCTAAATTAATTACTTGAGGACAAGTAAAAGACAAGTTTGGGGGAGTTGATATCTTGCTTATTTCATAGTTTTAATCATCCTTTTTATATTCATTTCAATCACTTTAGCTGCATTTAGAGTCCCTTTAGGTGCATAGCATATGCATGTGGGGTATTTCAGGTATGGAGAAGCTTAGGTTGGAGATTAGAGGGTTTAGTTAAAAGAAATGAAACTCACCAAAAAGTTTGAGGTGAACTCACGCGGCCATGTAATGCGGGCCAGCATCATGCCGCGTTTTTCATCCCGAGATCCTCGACCTTCACATGCGGGCACATCACGCAGAGGGAAGCGGGCCGCGCCTTATCACTAACAATCCTCACGCGGCCATGTAACGCGGGCCAGCACCATGCCGCATTTTTCGTCCTGAGATCCTCTACCACACCACGCGGGCACATCACGCGGCCAGCCTTCGTCTGCGCCTTCTCACGAGTCATGCACCGCGGATGGCACACGCGGGCAAAGTCAGGCCGCGGATCTGAGCCCGAGAGATCAAGATGGGGAGCATCAGGCAGTGGACCATGGACGCGGGTAGGGCCAGGCCGCGGTCGACTCCGAGATTAAGTTTCTCATTTGTTTCTTGGGTCAAACTCGGGTTTGTTGGGCCGACCCGGTTTAAGTTTTAAGCTACTATAAATACAATCTAGACCTAATCTTTAGGATTATCTTCTTTTCTCTCAAAAACTCATTGAAAAGTTGAACCCTTGATTAATATAAGCTTTGTTTCTTGAGTAATTTGAGTCTATCTCTTCTTCTAATCATGATTAGTCTTCTATCCATGAAGATTAATGAGTAGACTCTCTTTGAGCTTATGGGTTAGGGTGATTAAGTGATGATCTAGGGTGATTAGTGTTAGATCCTTCTTGTCCTATGCTTATTACTTATTCCTAATGCTAGATTAGACCTAATCCTTCTAAACTAGATCATTAGGCATTTCCTGCCCACAAGGTGTATGATGAAATGCCTGAACCAAAGTAATAATGATTTTTGCTTGCTTAACCAAGGATACTTCATGTTAGGAAGGCTTAGATGGTTAGTAGACTTGTTCTCAATGATTGCTTGATTGATTTAGACCAATGACCATTTGTGTTTAAAGATTGATAGCAAATGAGCTTTTACCTTGACCAAGGACTAGCTTAGAATTGTGTCTAGACCTATAGGATATGAATGATTGCTTGAAACC